TTTTCAGATAGCTCCAAAATCGATTTTGGGGGCTGTTTGTACGACAGCTATATTTTCATAATTAATCAACATTCAGAAACAAGATACTTTTCATTTTATAGAGAAATGTTTAATGGACTTAATTATGTAGTTGCAATTTTAGATTAGTTTGTAGTTTAACTGCAATAATCTTTTGAAAAAGAGCGAAAAAAGGATACCGTTAGCTGGACAGGCCGTCAGGTTGTTTGTTGTTAATAAAATTTTTAATATTAGGTGATCACAGCCTTTACAAGACTAACTTCTTTGCAGTCTGTTTATAATCTTTACCTTTTTGAAGAGGTAGAAAGATGGTTGTTTAACGTTTCGGTTTTCCGAAAAGCAAAGTTTAATTTTACATTAGGGATCAGTTCTTTTACAAATTTTCTTAATTAGTTCAACAAATAACAAAGTTTCATAACTATAGTAATTCATTGTGAAACAGATTGTTTTTGGTTATCGAAGATTGTGAACTTGTTGTTATTGATTTATTCCTCTGACTATTACTATACCCTCACGTATTCCTGTTCGTATAATATATTCAGGGTATTACCTGCTGGATAGTTAAACCATCCAATCTTAAGACTTATTTCAGTCGATCAAGTTTAACTTTTCGATAGACTGCCATCGAGCAAACTCTCTTACGTCAAACTAAGAGCGTTTTTATGCCTTATCCCAGTTGATTACTGATTATCATTTTTTCTTTACAAATAGCAGGCGTTTGTGTTCTCACCAAATATCTTCTTATCAGTAAGTTAATATTGATAGTTCGAAAACATTTACGGTAGGTGAAACATGATTTTTGATTTGATGTATCTTTCTTTCAAAAAAAAGTTTTCATCAGTTTTCTTACGTTGGTTTATATCAAACTTGACATTATGCTTGGTAAATTCATCGTATTTTTTTTTGTTCCGATTTTCACAACTGTTCATCTACATTTTTATTGTTTATATTTATATTCATTCTAGATCAGAAATATTAAAATGAGAAGTGGGAATATGATCACAAGCACTTGGGATAATTTACACCTTCGATAACCGAACATTACTACAGACTTGAGTTAGAAAATTATAGTCAACAAAATTGTCATTTATCTGCTTCCTATAGCCGTTAGAAAGAAAAAACAACAGAAGAATATACGACATTGACCAAAAGAGTCGATCGCTCAGTTACTACTATCCATTTCAAAATATAAGGCAGTCTGTTGTTTGTCTAATAACTTTGACAGAAAACAGCTAGAGAGCTGCGACTGTCACTGTTGCAAAGTAAATTGATAGGACTATATGTATGCGGAACAACACTAGCAAAAATACCACCTGCAGGTGTAAGTCACTTCAGGACATTTAGCAGAAGGTTACTCATCACTGAAAAAGTTTCGGATTTTGAATTCTGATTGGTTAGGTAGATGCACCGAATCGAGATCTTCAGTTCTAAACGTGTCTCAGATCTGCACCTTTCAATTTTGTGGAGCTAGAAAGACTCTCCGACGACCATGCTATCTCGATCCGCGCAGGTCTCGAGACTCCGAAAAGGCTCGAGACATAGGTAATCGAGTACCCTGAACATCGTAACAAGGTTTGTTTTTCTACAAAAATTGAACAAAGTTTGTCTGCCGATGGTAGTTTTGCTAGTGTTGTTCTGCAGGCATATAGTGCCATCACTTTACTTTCCAATAGTGAAAGCCGCAGCTCTTTAGCTGTTTGCTATCAAAAGTTGTTAGACAAACAATGGACTGCCTTATGTTTTGAAATGGATAGTAATTCTAGCTGATTTTTGACGTGTTGCATTTCATCTGACCTTTAGATCGCGAAAACGCCAACGAAATGGGTATTTACTAAAATACGTTGACAGTATAGATAGCTCTTACCGTTCGAATTGCTATTGTTAATAAGAGTGATAAGAAGTCTTTTCTTTTTATGTATTGCAGAAATTCCGGAAAGACAAAACGCTTTTTGTTTTAGATTCATTTTCCTTGTAATTTCACAACTAGTTTACATCATATTGTGGATATAACAGAATTATGTCTGCCCTGTTATTCTTAATTGTATGCGTTTGCACTGTTCATGCTGGAATTGATACCCCAATTGATACAACTTTAATTGAAAACAGTATATACAAATTATTTTCATTATGGACTTTACCGTGTTCTGAATGGATGAAAGTTTTTACTTTGGATGCTGTATGGTATCATCCTAATTTTCCTGCTGGTTTACATTATGATCAATTAAGAGAGTTTTGTACGATAAATCAAGAAACACGTCCTGCATTATTTCGACAAGACGGAGAAATTCGGCTAACCGTGAGCGGTTCATCCAGTAATGGATCATTATTATATCACGTAATGGTTCCATATGTCTATGGACAAATTCAAGATGGTAATAAAAACTCTCTATTTATTAATAGTGGATTTGAATACGTTGAATTAATTGAAATTGATGGAGGCAAAAGATATCTTATCAACATGGTCGTTGAGTTCTTTAACAGAGCTTCAATACCATTCACGTGGCCACGAAAGAATTAGAAGAACTTTCAGCAGGTATTTAGCTAGCTAGAAATTGCTTCTTTTTTTAAAATAAATTCACAAACTTACTATTTACTTTTGTCTTGTGAACACACTTAAAACGATTTTGTCGTGAGGTAAAATGACCACAATGAAGGTAGCGCAAAAAGATTTTGAGATGTTTCCACACAATTCCTTCCACTTTTTACACGATTTAAGGTTGGCAAAGTTCCACTGTGATGGTTTTGTAGCTCGTTGAAACTTATATATTTTTCTAGAAAAAAAGTTTGCAGCAAGCAAAAGTCAATTTCATCAAAAATTTCTCCTCAGGTTTGTTAGTCTTTGTTTTGTTTTCAGAGATAGTTTAAGACGATTCATTAGAGTTTGAGATGTTACCTATATTTAATATTTGTCGATCAAATACTCATAAAATCATCAGTTTGGTTTCGACAAAACTTCCGAACTCCATTCATTGTTCTCTGTGGTATGCCAGGATCTAGCATGAGTTTGTAACACCTTAGGCTTATAAAACTGCTATTTCAGTTAAGGTACAACTTCCAAGTTTATTTCTGAGACACTAAAAGGTCATATCAAGACCGAGGCTAATTCATCTTTAAGTTTTAATTAAAAACATGAAAATCACTAGATTTTAGTTTAGATTTTGCACAGCCATCTCAGCATCGCATTTTTGAATTAGTTCTTATTTCAGTTATTAGTTCTTATTTTTCTCACAAAACTATTTTATCGAATGGTCTTCATTTTTGGTTAAATCTTGCTCCAAATGTTATCTAGATCAGTTTCGGAACTGTAACACCGCCCAGTTTAGAACGTATTCACGCTTTACACTTAGCACTAACAAAATAAATCTGCTTGCTCAAATCTCTATAGTTAGTGCTCAATCAGTCATTATCAATCCAAGTGAGTCTGATCGGTGTAATAGTTGAATACTTAATGATTGAAGTTACGTAAAGAAATGCTTATAATAAGATGGACTTTCATCGTTAAGAGCAAGTGCATCATTGGACTTTGGAAAATTTTGCTAATCAAAACGATTGAAACCCATAGCTTTGGCCTTCGAATGGTTCTATAAATTTGTTATTTACTTACACCGCTCAATAAGAAATCTAAACAAAAAAGCTTTAACTCTGATGTCAGCCGAAGCATACATTGATTGTTTTATTCCAATTCTTTTCCTTCTATTTTTTTATGAGAAAAATACCGTTTCTTTACATGACTATCGAAAACAACAAAAGTTTTTTGTCAATGTTAGAAAACAAGAACAAGACAGAACTTTTTGTTTTCTTTTGTTACATGATAATCAGAAGAAAAGTCTACTTTACTACTACTAATTTATTTTACTATCCAAAAATGAATTGATTAAAAAGATATTATCTTTATTAATTCTTTCTTTTTCATGCCTAAACCTAAAGGTTCGAAAACGAAACTCATCCAGAAATGCCAACTTGATGACCCCGATATATATAATAACGGTTTAAATATAATGTGTTACGAGCCAACATATGTAGTATTGTGTATTCCAAGTACACTTTTATTAAAAAAACATGAAATGTAGAAAGTGCTGAAGCTTGAAAGCTACATTCTTCTAATCGACGAAATAATTTGTTTCAGCATAAAAATATTTCACATATTTTACAGTAAGTGCTACCTTTCTTTCGGCAGCCTAGAAAATGACATCATTTATTTTGAAAATTTCCTGTCCTTTCATTCAAACCTTTCCGGCCGGAAAAATGTCCGATTTTGTCATATGTACAAAATTTGTTCAAACTATGTGATCCTTGCTGGAAGTCAGCCTAATCTCCGAACACGAAACACCGCTGCTGAAGGTCTCAAAACATATATAATGTCTTTTGAAATCATTTATCTTGTTCATTATCGACAATAAACGATCATCAATATATTTTTAATAGTTGGAATAAATTGGTCGACTACCCTCGTAAAATCTCTACCAGTTCCCTGACAGGAGGATCCGAAACATATCCTACTAGGATTTCGCTTTAATTTCTTAGAATCCTAACAAAATGCTACAGAATCTTAATGAAGCCCGGTATACTCGAAAGTCACAGAATTTTCTAAGATTCTGTTCGCTAAATAAATTTAATCGAAATCCTGGTACACAGTGGGCATTTTTCCATAGAGCAGGCGGACATCTGCTTTTTTTGAGTTAAAAAATGATTATCATAATCATTTTTTAACTCATTGGACTCAGTATTACCGATGATACATGTTTTACCATGAAACGAACCAGTTGTAGTTCCTGATGAGGATTGTGTAAGCGATTCGGAAAGTAAAGCACGTTTAAGCGCTTTTCGTTGTTCCTTTGGTTCATCGTCCCAGATTTCAGAACCGTGCGGCCAAAAGTGAGAAAAATTAGTTGATGCTGCTTCATGTAATGCTGATTCTGAATCACAATGGATGTTAAATTCTGTTGTATCTGAATTAGCTGATTCAGCTAAATCAAGTTCAATTGATGAAGAAAAAGCTAACTGTGTGGTTGTTGTTTGTGCATCAAACTTTGATGAATTTGATCTACAACTGATCTGAATATCTGCTGCATTTATATTTGATGATTCAAATAACATTGCTGCTAATGACGATGAGTGAGATTTGAATGTTTTTCGTTGTGGCTTTGGTTCATCGTCTCAGGTTTCTGATCCTGGTGGCCATGGTATTTCAGATGGTGATATAGAGAAGAGCGAGGTAGTTGATGATGCATCTTTTGTCAAATCTTTTACACAATGAGATTCTTTTGAAGCGCAATATTTATCAGCATCATCTTGTTGTTGACGATGAAATGCATATCGATGTGTACGTGTAGAAATAGCTGAAACAACGGCTGTTTTTGTCCGAGTATTTTCATATAAATCTTCTAGAAGAATTCTACAGCATGTGCCTTCTTCTTGAGTAAGAGGGTAGACATGTGTTGTTGCTAATACATTAACAAACCCATCCTCACAGCGTCTAACAAAACATACGACTTCATGGTACATGATGATTGTTGAATGCTGAGCTACTCCGTCGGGATGAGTAGCTAGCACAATGTCACCGTCTTTAAATTTTGGAATCTGAGTTCGCGATGTAGCGAGCAATTGATTTCGACGTCTCGTATTTCCCATAATTCGTTCGAAAAAACCGTCTGATATGCGTTTAATCTTGTACTAATGTTTATTGACAATTCACAATGGTTTTTTACTAATATCAGGAGATTCGAAGATTCGACTTGGAGCGATCGCCAAGTGTAACGGAAATTGACCGTTCCTGAGTTTATTTCCAATGCCAACTGACTATATCGTGACTGTACAAATGTGAAAATAGGTAGAAGCATTGAACTGTATCAAAAGAGAGAGCACGAGTTCATCAAGAGTTCAGAAAAATGCACAATGGAATAGCTAGAGAAGCATTGAAGCGAGACAAGAGGTAATGAACTATGCAAGAGAAAGATGTACTGTAGAAGATAATTGATGACAAATAACAGTAGAAACACAAACGAGAGACATCACTGAAGAAGAGAAGAGAAAGGATGAGAAGTCAATGGGAAGAATGCATATATTCTTCACATACCCCTCTCCAGTTTTTCTGGCAGTTTGAAGTACACAACTTGTACTGTATGCCAAGCTATTTTTTAGAAAAAGGTACGGTTTGTTTTTAAGTTATAAGGCTGTCAATATCACAGCTGAACTGATGAAAAAGTAGATAACTGCATCAATATAAAAGCCAAATGAGTTTTCAGAGAATTTTCTGAACTACCGTGACTTTCCGACTTTCTCTTCTGGCCATGGTAGTGAGATATGTATGTAAAACTAAAATAAAAATAGTTAAAAGGCTGCTATTATTATTAATATGATCTATGATTAATATGATGAGTAATTCAGTGAGACAAAACTATGATGCTTTTTTCTTGAACTTTTCTGAACTATTATGAGTTTCCGGCTTTCTCTTCGGTCCATGGTAGTTTCATAGGATATTAGGTTCATATGTCCAAATTGTTATTTTTATATACGTGTAAGTTACAGAAATGTGAATATTAATTAAATTTAATGTATGAAAATGAATTTGAAAGTAAATGAGAGAAGTAGATGAATCTAGAAGTCAAAGCGACCAAGAGAATACAAATTATTGATTACCAAAAAGGAAGAACGAAACCAGCGAAATAAAAAATTTAATTTAATTTTACAGGTGGCGACCGAATAAAACGAATATACAAGACATAGATTTTCTTAATGGTTTCTCTTCTAGTCGGAGTAACATATCCCCCTTCTTTTTAACAACTTTAAAAAAATTGTTCGACTGAATGTAATCTGCCTTCATGCACAAATTGAATGTCCAGATTTAAAGCATTGAGTAACCAGAAGTATCAGACAACTTTAACGAATTGAATTGATTTTTATTGATGTTGAAGGGTTTTCTTTTTAACCAGCCTCGACTGGCGATTGCGCCGCGAAAAACGAATCGCTGAATTAATGGACGTATGGATAGTAAGCGTGGTGTGTGTGGTAAAGAAAATTGTACAGATGGACGAGTATACGCTGCTTTAAGATTCTTTTTTTGTTTTAAAGGATCAATCTTGAGCAGGTCAAGTATTTCTCGAAAGCTATCTACCAACGTAGTTACATGAACTATAGCTTTTCCATCTAACAGTTTTTCGTATGGAAACTTGTGAAAAAAAATTCTTGTAAATGTCCCGAAAATCTTCCATGTAGTTTTATTAGCTGTTCTTTAGTGTCATAAGCAAAAAAAACTCTTTTTCCAATTAATTTCCTCGAATGCTCGTTTGAAATATCAACTTTATTCTGCATCCCAGGGTCATGCTCGTTTCCGTATTTTTCTCGTTTCGATGCATTATGCAGTATGTCAGTCATAAAAATATCATATACTCTCAATTTCATATGCAAAAGTGTCCATAATATAGTCACTAAACTCAAACAAATCACCGAATAAAGGTTCACATTTATATCCCTTGCAATTAGTTTTTTTTCTTTTTAAACATAATCTTTGATCTTCTAGCGTACGTGCTTACTTTTGAATGTCAAAATAAAGGTGCTACCTGCTTGTTCTAACTTACCCTTATGTTGTGTACAAAATATACAAGAAAAATTCGATTGAACACCCGCAAGCCCGAACACATAAACGGCATTTGTGAAATCTCCTCCAAGTTTTAATTTAACAGGAATATCTTTCTTTTTTAACCGACTATATTTCACACTACTTAATCTGTCAAGAAAAGGTTTAGGAAGAATTTTTCGATACAACTCGCATTATTCTTTCGAAAACTCAAATAAATGACTGGTATCAGATTTACAATCTCGACCACCCTCAACACAATTGACTGTCCACTGTTCTGTTCTACACTTGCTTTTTTAATATTCACCATAGAAAGTAGCTGTAGCCGTAATTCTTGCTTTAGAACAGGTAAATTAGTCTAATATTTCAGTTCTACGAACACAAACGTACAGATATCATCGCATATACGATTAAGATTCAATGGAGTGCCACCACTACGACGTACAAGACGTTGTAGATAACAACTAAGGTATTGATAATTTACTTTTACCACTACAAAATTATTTTCATAAGCAAACGATACTCTTTCGGATTCGAGAGAACCAGTAGATGTTCCAATATTATTCAGAACAGAAATACTGTTAAGAGGTGCATAGGCAGTTCTTGGGTGTCGGTAAGTCCATAGAAGTATCAGAATCAGATAGGTGCAAATTAGTGACATGTTTCTCTTTAATATATACAGATAAATTTTTTTGTGGATGTTTCTTTGCTGCTAAAGATATAGCATTTGAACATTTTTTTTCAGTATACTATCGGCTACAGTTTTGCCATTAGTCGTTAGTTTAGCTTTTGCCTTAAGTTGAATTGCCTCCAGGTGTTCATTAAGCTTGTTACTCACATCAAGAAGATCAGTAATTAATGATTAATAAATCAGATGATAAATAATGAATAGTACAGAGTAACTACATAATTTTGATTATTTTAGAACTTTTCATAAGAATAAATTATATAACGCTAAGGAGTGCAATTCTTACAGCTGTTTTTTGTATTCCTAACTCAATTGCTAGACAATGGCTATTATGTCTTCCATCTGATCTGAGATCGTAAGAACAACATTGTCCCGATTTATAATTCTCTTAAACTTTCATTTATTCAAACTGGTCGTAAAAGTGATAACTTATAATACATAGGCTGATCAACTTGAGAAAAAATTTGTCTTAATTTTATATAATGCACACAATACCACGACAGGGATCGTAATCAGGTAAATCTTTTGGTCGAAGATGAGGAGCGTCTGTTTCTAATATTATTCGTTCAAAGACTTTTGGATGTTTAATCAACCATGATTTCATTATTTTACTTCTTGCGGATCCTTGATGTAAGTAACAGATCCATTAAAACCGATGAAACCATTTTTAAAATAAGACAAAAAGTTGTCTAGTACATTAAAATCAGAATTTGATATAATACAATGCCAATGAATGTGATGCCAAATTGAACGAAGATTATTTTTTAACACGGACAACATCGGCGCAAAATAATGAGTACATAGAAAAATAATATTTAAAAGGAGAACGATCAGCAAGTTTACAACTCAGCATTAACTTACCCCTGCAACGAAGAACTAATAGTAGACTTAATTCATCCGCCAGCAGAACTTTGTAAAAAAACTATCATTTAATCGTCGAATGAACGAGAACTTGTGCAATCGAGGCCGCATTCATCGACACCAACAATAAAACGTTCTGGATGAGTACTTTGTTGTGTGAGGAAGATATTTCGAAGACTACTAAGTTGTAAATCATAAAAAAATTTTGAAAAATGTTTAGGATGTATACCGAAAGTTTCGTGGATAATAACATTAGGATTTGAAGATGTGTGGGATAATTTAAATCATTGATGTGGAATATGTTTATTTGATATTAGAACTAGCCGTCGAATTGTTGAATTATTTAATTCTTGGAGAAAATGACAATCTTGGATATCATCAAAATGGCAATGGCCATCATAAATAGGAGTATAAGGATTGATATGTGTGACTGGTCCACATTCGCAATCATGGAAAATGCTATTGATCGCTATTGAATATCGAGGTTTAACTTCTGTGTTATCCATGCTGAAAAAATTTGTAATGTAAATAGAACGCTATAGGAGATCTATATATACATCATGTCTCATTACATAAAATCAAGCATAATTACTCGTAAATTGATTAGGAGTCTTAATACTGGACTATACGTCAAGGTTAACAAAGGTTTGTACTCAAACCATACCTCTCAGAAACGTTTGTTAATTGAAAGAACAACTATACACTGTCAAAAAAAAGTGTCTTGATAAACCACCCCACTTTTTTTCGAAATAAATAGCTTAAGTGCATTTGATAGACATCACTAATATATCAAAAACGCACAATGCACTAGCTACAGTCAAGCTCCTTAATCACCCATCAGTCATGGATATATCACCTAGTCATATTTTAGGCATTAAAAATGCTGCGAGACCCTTCTCAGACACTGAGGCATACTGCGGCTACTCAAGATGTCTCTAGCAGAAATAAACGACCGAGAACAGTGCTTTAGCTGCATTGTTTCTTCGACAACTATAGTGACTGTGGTACTCTCGAACAGCGATAATGGCAAGTTTGAGCCAGTCGAGTAACCAGGTTTGTTTGCCATGCATCTATGAGGTAACGCTCGTATACCACTTACTCGATCTCATGCCTTTGGCAACTTATATTGGCACAAGGACAGATTTGATGTGAAAAGTTTATAATCTAACATAACTCTAAAAGGTTTTCTGAAAACCATGTTTTCTCAGGGATCTAAAAATATTTCTGATTAGTTCTCATAATAGGTTATTTGTATTGTGTAAGTATCATTACGTGCATATGGTTTCTTTCGCTCTACCAAAATTTGCTGATTTTTGACGACATCTATTTCTCATTGTAAAATAAAGTCTGCTTAGATTTTTTTATTCCTGCTCCTGCAGACATTTTGCTCTTTAAATCTTGTTCCTTAACAAAAATAATATTTTCTATTCCTCTTTACTGATCGCCTTATGAATGCCTAACGCACTGAATCACTTATTTTTTTTGCTTTACCGTCTGTGTTTGTATCCCTTCTTCCTATCTTTTTCCATAGTTGCACACGTGATATTTGAATCGGTCTATTTTGATATGATTTCAATTTATCGTTTCTTACAATGCCTTTATCAGTTTTTTATTTGGTTCAATATAAATTTTTCATCTAATTCTACTGTAATTGAGTAATTTTTAGTTTATTAACCGCCTTATTTTTAATTTGTTGCTTGCGTATTTAACTTTGTCACATGTTAAAATAAAATGTTTTTCGTAGTAGCCTACTTTTATAAGGCTAATCCCGCGTCTTAAACGCATCCGCAATGTCTTAAGGACATCAGAATGTCTTATTACATGCATTAAAAATGCACTTGATTTACACGGGAAAAGATAATCGAAGTGCCTTGACCCAACATCCATGATGTCTCACCAAGATGCTACGGGTACATAAAATTGGAATCCAGCCGCTTTCGTAAGGCGTCGCAGCGCGTCTTTTACATGGAAATTTCATCTTACTATCAAAAATGAAGTCATCTTTGACGCGCGTGAAGTGCATTTTTTTTCGAAAATGCACCTCTTTTTTCACAGTGTACTGACGAAAATTGAAAATATATTATACATTCTACATATGCAATAAATATTCATTTATTTCATGTTAATCATCAAACAACATTTTTCCTGTCTCTTATTAATATGTTATTTAGGCTTTTACTAATTTCATAGTGAGTGCAACCTTTCTTTTGGATAAAACGATAAAAGTTGTTCCTTCTTTTTTCTAATTTGTAATATTTCCATATCAGTTTCATCAGGTAAATGTGTATGATCATCACGCACCATGACCGACGAGTCCGAATAACTTGTTGCCGTAGCGTTACACTTTACACATACCCAATACTTTGAACCATTTTGATTTTTACGTTTGAGAGAATATCGATAACCGAAGTAACATAATTGTCTTTTGCCATGTGTAGATTCAACAAATTCAGCAAACGTTATTAAAACTTCTTCTGACTTACCGGACATTATTAAAACAGTGTGAAAGAGAGTGGTGTATCTGCACCTTTTATACATATTTTTATAAAGGTTATCATGTTATCACGACTACTCTGTTCTCAAATAAGTATTAGAAATTAATCAATTTGGTTCATCATTCCCTTATTGATGAATGTTGGTTCTGCTTGGAAATTTATTCGTTGTCGCAATGAATATTCATTTGCTCATTCATCGCTTTTGGTCCAAATAATTAGCGACACTTCAGACATTAAGTATTTATTTCAAAACTTTAAATAAACGTTTATGCCATGTTATAGAGCATGTTCGAAAGTGTAAGAAAACACATTGTTATTCAAGAACTTATTTTTTTTGAGTCTTAAAAAATGTATACATTAATCTTCATTTATCACACCATTGGTAGCAATTTTTTATTTTCTACTTCGAAACCAACTATACACGGTAATGACAAGCTTCGAAACCGCGCTTTCAGGTGTTCTCTAAACTATCATAGACTGACTTTCTTTTGGCAAAAGAACCAACTTTTGTCCTATCCTTCACCTTGAGATATTCCTAATACAATACTTGATCAATATCGCTGTCACACCGTTACGAAAACCTTATTTTAAAATTTTTAATGAGTGCTTTACGAAATATCAGTGAATAAAGTAGTGGACTATTACTAACTTTCTACGGGGGTTCTGATGCACTACTTTTTTCTGAAAAATGTCTCATCTAGAGGGAAATAAACGTAACGATGTGACAAAAACTTCATTTTTGGTGCTTCTTAGCTCATATAATTCAACAACAATTTCGATAGTACTAACGTCAGACAGTCTCTGGTTACAAATCAAACCTTATTTGACCTTTAGTTTACTTATCTACCGATAAATCTTTCAAAAAATCTCTAAGGTTTATTGTATCTTTCGATATTTCCAGCCACGGTTAATTTTAACCATTGTAGCAACACATTCAAAATCAATATCGGATTCCGCATTGAATGCCATGTTGTTCAGATTTTTTGAACAGACTATAGTCGTTCAAAACGAAAAACTAAACGGTTTAAATGATGAGTATATTTTCTTTTTCTTTTCTTCCTTTCCCCGTCTGTTTTGTTTTAGCAGTTCACAATATATAAATAGCTGGAAAAGAAAAGGAGAATCAGTTCCATCTATCCAGTAAGAAACAGTTCTGGATAAAGATTTGCAAATTTTTCTGTCATATAGTTACTATTGCCGAATATCTTTTGTATCGCTTTCATCGAGGTAACTATTTGTTTCTTCTTACTATCGTCATTTTGACATGGCTATGACTAATGCTGAAAGAATGAAAAAATATCGAGAGAAAATCAAAAAAGATAAAGTTAAATATGAAGCAGTGAAAGCAAAAGATCGTGTTCGTTATAATTAGGAAAAGCAAAAACTGACAGCAGTAAGCTTAACTAAATTTCGTACCGACAACAAAATTCGTCAACACAAATATCGAGAATATAAAAAAATTGTTTAGTTAATAAACCTCCTTCAAGCTCATTCAAAAGTCGTCAATCATTCAGTAAGGCTTTAAAAAAAACAAATTCTTCACTTCCAAAATGTGATAAAAAGAAAAAAGTTATCATTCAGCGCCTTGCTGAAACATTTGGTTTGGTTCCTAAATGTAAACATCAACGTACTACAGTTCAGCTTGCTGACAAACTAAAAAATGACGTTCATAATTTCTATTTACGAGACGATATTTCATATCAATTACCAGGTAAAAGAGACATAGTTGTTATTAAAGAGGATGATGGAAGTAAAGTAACTAATCAGAAACGAGTTTTGTTTAATAATTTACGTGAAACTTATGAATTATTTAAAGAAGAGAATGACAACGTTTATCTAAGTCGTTCATCGTTTGCTGAATTACGACCTCCTTTTGTCATTCCAACAGGTGCTTTAGCACATAGGAATTGCATGTGTTTGTATCACGAAAATATTTGTTTACTTTTAAAATCTCTTGATGAACACGTTGGTGGAAAATACTGCTCAACTTTGCAAACATTTACCGATAGTTTAGTTTGTAGTACTAATAACGAAGAATGTATATTCAGTAGTTGTTCACTTTGTCAAGATCTTTTTACAGAAAAAATTGAGGAAAACGTTACGGACGGCAACGTTAAGATTATTTGGCCACAATGGATGAACGAAAATGGTCGTGCAGAAAAAAAAAATTTTTTTTCAGGAAATGTTGATGAAGCAGTTTTGTTATTGAAGTCAAAAGTTGAATATTTTCTGTTTCATGTGTACATTAAACGAGAACAGACAAAGTATTTTGAAAAGTTAAAGACTGAAGTTAGTGATGAAAAGATAGTATTGCAAGTCGATTTTGCAGAGAATTTCAATACGAAAGAATAAGACGAGATCCAGAAGGCTCATTAGAACACAAAACCGTTGAGTATATTTACTGCTTTTTGGTGGTCAAAAGGTGAAAATTTTTCTTTTGCTCTACCATCGTTAGATGTAACACACGATAAATTTGTTGTTGATTCTGCTTTGAAAATCATTTTAAATCATATCGAAACAGTTCTTCCAAATGTTGAAGAAATAAATTGTTTTTCGCATGGTGCTGCTTCTCACTCAGTTTAAACAACGTTTTCATTTTCGAAATTTAACACGAATTGCTACAGAACGAAAAATAAATTTGAGTTGGCATTTTTTTGCAACTGCTCATGGTAAGGGTGTAGTTGACGGAATTGGAGGTACTGTAAAACGTCTTGTGTGGTCAGCTATACGGGCACGAGGAGTATGTCGATCAACTGAAGATTTTATTACGCTTGCAATGAAAAAAACTAAGAAAATAATTTTTATTGAAATCACGAGAAATGATATTGATAGTTCGAAAACTAAACTTGAAAATCTTTTCAAAACGGCAAAATCTGTTCCAGAAACATTAAAAATGCATTCAGTTAAAGTGGTTGATGAAGATGAATTAGAGTTTCGTTATTACTCGACGTGTTCTCAGAAAAAAACCATAACATATTGATAGTAAACATGTAGATTTTTTAGAACTTTTTGATTGACGTTGTTTTGCTGATTATGTGTGTATTTAGATACTCGATGAAATGTAGAAACGGGTTTCATTTAACCAAGACTTTGTAGTAAACGATAAGATGAAAAGAAAATAGTAGAAAAAAAATTTACTGATAGAAACATCTGCAAAAAAACAAAAAAAATACTCAGCTCGAAGGAGGTCAGGTCTTCGTCCCGAGCTAGGGAAACACTAAAGTTTAAGATAGTATGCACTTAAATTTTAGTGGCAAAGAGCCTCTAAGTGTGCCTCAAACCTATACCAGAAGCATAGTTTATTGGAGCGGGAAATGTTGAGTTTAACAGAGACTTAAGAGATCTCCAACCATGCTGATGCTGTCTTTAGTAGTTAGAGTTTTAGAAATGTCTCTTTGAACGTCTAAACAACGTGTTGAGACAAAGTCACATCAAATAAAAAGAACACATGAATTTTCGAAAGAAAGGTGTAACACCGTTACGTTTGTTTTTTGCATTTTTTACGTATAGAAAAGATGTTAGGACAAACTTTTTTTACCATTGTGAAGCTCGTCAAATGCTGTACAAAATTCGTCTTTGCGCCGTTTTATTTGGACAGCGACTTTCACAGGAATTCACGGCTTAAGGACGAACACTTCAAAATTAATATACCGTGAAAACCCACAGTGGAGCATCGGATCCAAAAACCGCGGGTGTCCCGACGAGATCTTTGCGCCGTACGACGTAACTCGTTGTGCTGATTCCGAATATCTAATTTTCCAAAATTCCATTTCTCTAGAAAAAAACCATCGAATTTTTATATGTTAGTATAGTCTCATTACGCGTCAGATATTAATAAAAGTAAAAGAACTCTGTTTTTCGATAAAAAAATCCTTACTACCTTGTTTGATAAAAAGTTCCTTACCATTGCTCTGAATTCTTGTTGAAAAATATTTTATTTGTAAAATTAATAAATTATACATCATTCGGTGCAGTATTTTATGCTGCTCACAAATATCACATTAATATTCAATAAAAGTGTTTCTCAGCTGAGAAAAACGGAAAATACCTCAAAACCTAGGGTTTGGAAAAACCTACAACTCGACGCTGATAAATATGTGCATTTTTGTGCATTCGCAATTGATAGAGAAAATGACGCCGAATATTTTGGTATAATATTAGGGATATTACAAATAGGATAAGTGAATAAATGATCAGTTTATCCCATATTCCCACCTCTCCCTCCCCACAATAGAAGACCATCCCCTATTAGAAGACCACTGCCGATTATATGACTTGAAAGCCAGGTAGAAGACCATGGTCTTGTAACTTCTAGACGACCACTGATCTTCTATTATGTCCGCGAAAAAAATCGGAAAATACCCTATACCTAGGGGAATTTTTAAAAAAATTTCGCCAAAATTTACTTCTGATAGGTAATCGACTTCGAGTACATGGGGGTTACCTTTGGACTACTAGCAGGCGACAAAAGTTGACCGTAATAGAAGACCACCCTTTAGAACTCGGACAAAACAGAAGATCAGCTGGTCTTCTATTATGGGGGAGGGGGGGTCATTAGGTTTTTCATAATTTTGTCCGATCATCACGTACGATTGAATTTCATAATAATCAAGTGTCATGCATAGAATCAATGCTGAATATACAAAATATATCATCTAAATGTCTATACCATAAAATAAGTATATTCGATAACTGAAAAAAGATTTAATTTTTATTCAGTTTTAGACATAATTCTGTCAGCTAAGAGAGAATGTAGATGTGTCCCAAGACGTCATCAAGTTGAATATAATTCCTATTAAACTATTTTCTTTTATTCATTTGTTTTTTTATCTTTTACGAATCAACATGTGATGTTTCTTTTTAGTTCTATACGTTCTTTACTCATTCATTATTTCTAGAGCACTGTTTCAACGTTATTTATTGACATAAAAGGTAGAGTATCGTATGGGAAAAACGTGTCTTTCTCGTTTTCGTTTCTACTTTTTCTTTTTCTTCATAATTGTAGCAATGAATATTTCGTTTCTCCCATCCTTCTTCTGCGTAACCGAATGCATTCAAAACAAACATTTTCAGTTTTTAGATTGAAAAATACATTACAATGAGCTCTTCAAAACAATGTGAAATTATCGAATGTAAGCGAACAGCAGCAACACTATGTCGTCATTGTAACAAAGATGTATGTAAAAAACATTTTATTGAACATGCTGACTCACTAAACGACGAACTTCATCCACTTACCGATCAAATTAATGAATTAACTACTAAACTCAACGGTTTAAAGTCGTTGCACATAGTTGAACAATCGTATGCCATATTGAACAAATGGAGAAATGACAGTTTTCTATTAATTGAGCAACTTTATGACCGTAAAAGATATGAAATTGATGTATTAGTGGAACAAAATTTTATAAAAGTCAAAAATGAGCAAGAAGAAGTCATCAGAAGTCTCGAAGAAAAGATTAAGAAATTTATTCGTGATGATGATGTTACATACGATGAAATCAAAGGAATGAAAGAAATAATTAGAAATATTAGTAAAGAAACTGAAAAATTAAAACAGAATTTCATCGATATACAAACAGAACCATTATATATTAACAAAAACTGCATTACTGTCCGTTCAAAAATCAATTTAGTAAAAGAGGTCAATGAGATAAAATCTGTCTCATTATTCGATGGAACAGCGTTACTGTCTCATGATCAACAATTGATATTAAACAGATTTTATGGTAAATCATCCCAACAATGGAAACTGATATATAAGGCAGTACGAGATGGATTTGACGTAGAAACATTTCATCGTTTATGTGATAATTTTAATCCAACAATAACTGTTATACAATCAGAAGGAAATGGATATTTATTCGGTGGTTACACAAATGTAACGTGGAATCTCACCAGTGGACCATATAAAAAAGATGCAACTGCATTTTTATTTACACTCACAAATCCGTATAACATTCCACCAACAAAATATAAAGTTTATAATTCTCAGCATGCAATATTTCAAGATCCGCATTATGGACCAACATTTGGCGGTGAAGGAGAGGGAAGTGATATTTGTGTTTTTATTGAGACGAATGCTGGAACAATCCATTTTCCTCAAACGTACATAGACACATCGGGAAAAGGAAACAAAACATTCACTGGATATGAGCAAAGTAAATTGTCTGATATAGAAATTTTCAAATGTATTTAATCATTGATGTTCTAATTTAATAAGAATTAGTCAAGTCAAATACAATTTCAAAATTTCTATAAAAATACTTTGTAAAATATATCAAACTTAGAACCATAGAAAAGCGTTTAATGACGCTGCGGAACCAAACTTTTTGGTCCCGGTTCCGTCGAAAGAACCCGTTCTTGGTCCCACTTCCGTGTTCCAGTATGTATTTTTTTAAAGTATGGCTGGTAGTTGAAAGTCGTTGATAGTTGTAATGTGGCGCGTGGGGCAGCTTGCGTGGTTCGTATTAGTTGAAGACTTTCAGAATTTTGTGTGAATACTTTCTCGCAGAACTAGTGTCTACATACAAACAAGCACAGAACTTAAGAAACTTTTATGCTCTATGCAAGATTATTTTCCAAAAAACCTGGTGCCGGTCCCATTAATCGGGACCGGGACCATCCCGCCGACCTCCAGGTCCAGGTCCCGAAAAAAAGATTTTTCTGGATCCCAGTCCCGTAAAAAGTACCGCAGCGATGCGATCTGGAACGGGACCGCCCGCAGGCCATTAATACTTACGCTGTGTTGCATGGCCACGCAGCATGATTATTTCATTGCCTTCTACGGTTTCATTTTATACAATTTTGAAAACAGCGATAATAAAAATTTAAAATAAAATCAAAACATCAAAACAAATTTTAATTTTTAGACGTAACTGGTTTTTGATGATCTCATAGATCGAATGATAATTCTATTTTATGAGACTCATCAATATGGGATATAGCGTTTATTATAACTCATTATTTTATGAGAATTAAATTAATTTCCACAAATTTTAACTAATTTATTGTTACATATTTCTTTTTGGCGAGCAAGTGTCCTAGCGCGCAAATGTCCTGGCAAGCAAATGTCTTAGCGAGCAAGTGTCCCCGCGAGCAACTGTCCTAGATCCGGAACAGAGACGTCGAGAGAACGTTATGAAAGTGTCATCTTTGAATTAGACATAAGTAATAATCAATCTAAAGCCTTTGTCGATATATGTAAATACAACAAATTTACAGATGAAGCAGAAATATCATGCACTATCGGAACTATATGGTATATTGAAAATATTGACTGGAATACTGATAAAATTACTTAGTGGGTGAAATTGAAGTTAACCAGTGAGAAAGATCAATTAGCAATGGAACTAGTAAACTCACTTCGAAAACAATACTTACGAGAGAAAGACTGTACACTTTTAGATTTGACTAATATATTAGTTGCTCTTGGCAAGTACAATCAAGCAAAAAATGATTATGACATTATGTGTGATAATTCAACACTAAGTGACAATCAAAAAATACAAATGAATAATTGTCACGGAATTCTCTTATATGAAACAGGAGAGTTCGACGAAGTCTAGAATATATTTTCAAAAGGAAGAAGAAATTATTAATTCAAAGCAAGAATTATCTAATCATTGGCAAGTCGCAATATGTATGAATCAACAGGCAACATACAGTGCTGTGAGAAATTATAAAGTTGCTCAAGAATATTTGAATAAATTTAGAAACACCGTTCTTACTGGTTTATCGGCAAATAAGCATTCAATAGCTAAAGTTTACAATAATATTGGCCTTACTTATCATATAAGCGATGACCTTAAAGAAGCATTAGAGAACTATATGGGTGCTCTTGACTGTGCTTAAAACTTCAGATATTATAAGTGTCACATTTGTATAATTTTGCCGTTGTAAACTTTTATCGCTAATGTGTGTAATAGAGGAATATCCCTTGATAACCCAATCTCACAAGACCGTTCAGCAATTTATAATAACATTGCAGGTATTTATTATATTAAGAAAGATTACGACAACACAAAAAAACTATATTATACAAAGGCAATAGAAACAGTTATAACATTCAGATAACTTGGTTAATATTGACATAGTAACTATTTCTTCTGAAAATCGAGTATTATTTATATACAATAACAATCAACGTAATAAACGATTAATCTGAGCAAATTTATTTCTTCGAAAAGATCACCCATGGTTGAAAAATTACGAAAGAAATTTGAGTATCTTATGTTGCCGTACACAAGAAGATAGAACAACACAGTAGATAATATTAACAAAGTAGACTGTAGAAAAACAATCATTTATTTCATATAAAAATATGACTTATATTATACAATAAAGAAATAATATACCATCTTGTCAGTTCTTTCGCTATCTACAATAGGATATGCACACGTTACAAGAGATTAGAACCTAACGTGCGCGTATGTAAAATAAGAAAATATTGTTACTTAACAGATCGGGTGTAATGTTATTTTACATTCTCTGTTAAAAGCAACATCTCTATTAGCATACGTCAAAATCTGATGATGATGATGTGTAGTAAGTATTCTGATTTAAAGTCGATAACCAGAATAAGTTCATCATGTTCTCAAATTTGAATAACGCTGTCTGTGATAAGCGAGAACAAATCTGACTGAAATAAATTTATTGGTCTAGAATGGTCGGATCTCATCTCAAAACATCCTCAACTGAGCGTTAGACAAAAGCCTGAGACATTTGGGAAAGAGTTAAATCATTGTACTTCGACCTACTAACACCACTGATTACCATGCATATTACATCGTCGAGCTGATGCACTATTAAAAGTTAGTACGGCATTTACTTTTGCCACTCTCAACGTTTTTAATAAAATTCAGCATTCTAGTGTTACTCCGTATTTTTCGAATTTCTCAAAAACTATTCAGTAAAATTTTTTGGTTCAGGTACTGTTTGAAAGAGGAGAGTTAGGACAATACATCCATGCTAAAATGTTTATTCACTCTTCTTCTTTTGCTAGGAGAAAAGTGCTTTTCTTAAGGGTCCCCCCCCCCTCAGAAATTATCTCGGCCACCGTGCATCCGATCTTGACGAAACTTTTCAGAAATGTTCGGCACAATTAGTTATGGGAATGAAAAAATTTTTTTGTCTCCAAGTCTTACGGTTTAGGAGTTTTCCAGAGATCAAGGTCCAAAAAGGACCCTGAACGGCGTCCCAAGATTTTTTAATATACTTCAAACTGGAGAGTTCGGGTTTGTTTTATTTTAAACTAGACACCTAACTACATCGACTGACCGGCGCCGATTTTTTAATTAAGCCTTTATTGATTTTCCAGGCAACCAACAACCTCCAAAACCCGAAAAAGC